ATTATCAGTATTAGGAATTTGAACTGAATGCTTGAACCAACAGCAAATGCTGGCTGAAACTGCACCCTTTCTTCTAAGATATACTAATACCCTGGAATAAATCTCAGTGTCGGGGTTTTAAACACACACACCAGGGCGTTGCTGTTCTGCCTCAGCTCCCCCACCGCTGGCTGTTACATGTGAAGAGACGATGAGGTAACACACAACCCCACCGCTGGCGAACAGGAGCACGCAGAGGAGATCTCTGGCGCCATCTAGTGGGCAATGAAGCACCAAAGATATGTAAGTATGCAACCTTGGTAAGTTTTCTGTCATTTAAACAGCTGGTTTCCGTCCTTTTCATATTAGTCTCCAGTCCCACTGCGGGTAATGAAAACTCTTCTCAACAAAGGCCTCGGCACGAGCGCGCGACCCGCCTGATGCTAAGCTGGAGATCACGGTGCCGCCGCGTGACCCTAATCTGCATAATTACATTAAGGGTGCTAAAACCGCGCTGCTAGCGGCACGGTCCAAACAAACAGAGGGAGAGCTGCAACATTGTTCTTAAGGCCAGAGAAGATATGATTCAGCAAAAATTCAGACAAGACCTGTTAATCAAATCCGTGAGTACACAATACCAGAGACTCGTTTGCATTTTGTTAAACTGTCGAAGAAAGTAAAAGTTCTTAGCAGTACAAGTTGCCTTGGAACAGAACAGTAACATTGTCTGAGTGAAAAAGATATTTTCCTACATAAATATGAAAGTAATAGTTTCAGTGATCTGTATTTTAGTCTTGTAGTTGAATCAAATCAGCTGTGTTGATTGATATTTGGGAAAATGAAGTAGTCAGCAATGACTGAACAAAGTTTATGGATGTAAAAGTTTTCATTGTCATTTGCAACAGACTCTATCAACTTTGGAGAGTTATTTTTAGCTCTAGGTGAATTTTCATTATACCTAATACAACAAACCTATCTTCAATAATGGTTTTTTAATTACAAATACAAGCAGTTACGTATTTTATATTTAATACTTAGCTTTGTAAGGGGATTTTTTTGTGTGTGTTTTTGATTGTCTTGTGGCTCTGAAGTGAGAAAAAGAGTGGTTAATATCTACTATAAAATCTAATATAAACTGATATCTCTTATAAAAAAATACACAAAATAGAGTTTTTTTGTTTTTGTTTTGTTTGTTTGTTTTTTCCAGATGCTAAAGCTAACACAGAATCAGAGAACCGGGTTTCTATCATCACCAAACAACTCCTGTCTTCAAATTTTCAGTTATTCTTGATATAAACATATGAATCACATGATGGCATGTTAGTAGACGGTTTGAAGTTTTTACTTATTTAGGGCACACATGAAGAAAAGCAAAGAAGTAATTGTATCCAGACATATTAATTAAAAAATAAATAAAAATAAACTGACAATGAACAGTTGTCTTTTTTTATTTGCTGATTTTTACACCATCTTAGTTGATATAAATTGTATAGCTAGTGTAACAAATCTTGTCTTGTAGTATGCGTTTCATCCAGTAAGGTTGTGGTTACAGACCCAAAACAGTCAAAGTCTGTCAAATAAAACATTATGGTTCAAATGCAGAGATATGTTTTAAGATTGTTTAAAATTATATCTTTATTAAAAAAGAAAGAAACTTTAAAGGAACATTTCTGAATCGGCTCTGGATGGAAATCACAAGTATTTTTTTAATGAGGAGTTAATATCTTACCAACAATAAATAACTTTCTTGTTGTCTTCATTTACTGTACATACAGAGAAGTTATTTGGCAGTTGGAGAGGATGCAACCTCACACCATGTACAACATACAAAGAGATTTACATGTAAAGCATTAAGTAACCAACTAACGCAAAGATAAACCAGACTAAAAATCTATGATATTACATTTTATTGTTATATGCAATTCTGAATGAGATCCTTTACACATTCTGTTCTCAGTATGTGTTTCAGCCAGGAAAATTACTGGTGGTGCACTGTCTGTCGCTAATTTCTGATTCCAGGGAATATAATAATCAATTAACCAACCCAGTGTAAAGATTTATAACTTTATGTTCTGAATAAACTGATTCTCTCATAGTTGATAAAGTCAAATGGTATTTTCCATTTAAGGTCTAATATGAGTCCATGATGTCTCATTCGTTTAGGAACCTGCGCAACAAGAGGAAATATTAACCACCCATGATAAAAATGCCATGTTCCATCTGACTGGTCAGAGCATCAAACGGGCAACTAAAAACAGCCTCCATTCCAATACACCTGGCGTCCATATGTCAGGCTCACATGGACAAGAGTCACTGGGTCAGCTTATGGCATCTTCACTGACCCAGGAGGGCATGGCACAGCTGGGTTCACTGGTGCTTAAGTCTCCCAGGCATGACTTGGAGAGGCTGGCTGAGGACCAGACACCCAGGCGGCCCCTCAAGCTCACCCCTCTGGATCTCCCAGAGGAGGTAAGAGAGGCACAGAGGAAAAAACTTCACTTGATCCAACAAGACGCCAAACTTGGCGACTGTAAGTTCGACATGATGCTGAAGGAGAACATCATGAGGAAGCTAAAACCGATTATGAGGCAGAAGATTGTGAAAGCAGTTGTGGGTCCTTCTCCTTCAACCATGCCAGTCGTAACTCAAGTACAAGAGAAATCCCATAGACCGCAGCTGACACGCTCTAACCCCGTAGAAAAGAGTGGAGAGAAGCAATTGCGAGACATCACACGTCGAGGAATCCCAGCATCCCTCTCCGGCAAGCCTGCCCCTCCTCTACCTGCTGCCAGAATCAAGGCTCAGGCCGCATGCGGTGGAGAGGCGTCACACAAGAACCCAAGTGCCCTCCAGTTCGAGGTAGAGAGAAGGCGGCCGAGGCTGAGAAGAGAACAACGCCTCGAAGAGGATCAGTGCCAAGCCAACATGTCAACCGGGGGATTATGCACAGATGGAGGCAAGCTTGCCCAAGGTGTCCGAGGCAAAGGGCAGCAGGCGGAGTGGGCTTGTAGAGGCCAATCGCATGCTGGAGAGAACATCAAAGATCCCTGCACTCCCGCAACCTCACGCGAACAGGGAAGTGCCAAGAAGGGCCACCGAGAGGGAGGCGGGAAGCAATCCGTGAGATACATCTTGAACAGACAGTCGGACGAAGGTGGAAACAGGGAAGCAATTCCCGAAAGCTGGAAGGCAAAGAGGAAAATTCCCTTGATCATGAACCAGAACAATGCCTTCCCTGTGGAGGTTCTGTAAGTGTAATGAAAGTTCAGCTTGGAAGTTGCCAATTCCTCAGATGGCGAATCAAATATTTTGTTCAGATGACAGTTTATCATGTTCCAAACTTTAATACAGAAAGTAAATAGTAGTGAGAGACACATATGCCAGGTTTGCTTTAAGTTATGCATAGTCCTGTTTGCAAAGCCTCTGTTGACGAGACTGACTTAATTAGCTTAGGCAGCCCTGGCACGGAGCGAGGCTTATGATACATCACACAGGGTGTGATACAGCAGCGATCCAACAGAATGACACAGCAGAGATTTTACTCCAAGGAGGAAAAAAACATCCAGAGGGGTAGGATCTGAACCGTGGAGATACTGAGGATGTTGACTGACTGACCTAAAATTTTGGAGTATTTTTTTTAAACTGGAAATGGCATGATTAATATATTTTTAACAGGGTAAGAGTGTCAAAAATATATAACCCAAATGTATATTGATTTTTACTTTTTGAAAAAATAAAAATACACTAAAACTGCAAAGTGGCGATCTGATTCTGTTTGAATCAACCGTGCAAGAGTTTCTCCTACAGAAATCGCTTGTGTGTCTGCCATTTAAAGTGCATCTCAAAATATGAACTTATTGAATGATCTCATCACATATCACTATGCATTGTCTGGAGCATCCATTACTGAGCAACTGACAGCCCTCCTTTACAAACTGGCAAAGACAATTTTAGACTGTTCAGCTGTCCATTTGTCAAAGGTAAGTCATGCAATAAATGAGATCAAGTTGATCTGGTCTACATTCTAATATTAATTTTGACAGCAAAAGCATTTGCATATATCACCAAACTTTTAAAACATTATGTTGGATGACTAGACATTTCAGTTCCTATACTAAGCCCATGATTGTATGATACAACCAGCCAGTTGTTTTGTCAACCCCTAACAACATTGTCCAAGACGACATTTGCGGCTCCTGAAATAATTGTTTGGCACCCCCAACCACAATTTAAGAATGATACAAATTTTCTAATCTTCTCACGTTAATTTGATTGTAAATATAATCAAATTTGTCCATTTGTGACATTTACTCAAAAGCAGATTTTGTTGAAACCAAATCTGTTTTGAACACATTTTTCTATACGTGGCTAAATACAGCAAACAATTTCAAAGAACAAGCAATCCAAATTCTTTTCTTTTCATTTTGGTGAGAAAAGAAATAATTCCCAAACTGGTTGCCTTTCTTTTCACAAAGAAACAAAAATAAGCCCCTTTTAAAAGTTTTGGAACTATAGTTGCTTAAATTTCACATTCCTACACAACAATCTGATTGCTTTATTTGTTTGACTGACACATTACATGCTTGGTTTATTTTTGACCAGGCAAAAAAAAAAAAAATGGCATTTTTTTTTCATTTTATTTAATTTTTTTCCTGCATGTACTTTTCGATTTAATAATTTTGTTTGGTAACACTTTATTTGAAGGGGGTTGAATAAGACTGTCATAAACATGACATAACACCTGTTATGAACATCAATAAGTCTTCATGAATAGTTATGACTGTTGTCATAAAGCGTCATTCGGTAAATAATGACACTTTTAATACAAAGTTGACATTATTCAAAATGTCTTCGTTATGACAACTTGTCATTAACCAAGAAATCATGATCTAACATGAATTTGTCATAATAGCAAAAGCTTTAACAAAACAATGATTAATATTTCCACTCCCTGAAATAAAGCAAAACAAGTAGCAAAACAAAGATTTCACTAAGCTTTATTACACGGTCAAATGATTTAATAACAGACTCGTTAACAATTTCTTTTACATCAACTAAAATGGAACAAGTAGCACCAGTTATGA